GAGAGAGAGACACTGGGGTTAATACAGACAGTCCTGTACACTACCACTGAGAGAGAGAGAGACACTGGGGTTAATACAGACAGTCATGTACACTACCACTGAGAGAGAGAGAGACACTGGGGTTAATACAGACAGTCATGTACACTACCACTGAGAGAGAGACACTGGGGTTAATACAGACAGGCCGAGTGGTGTGAAAAAAAGACATCAGACACACTACTTACAAGCAGCTTGTGGTATTTTGGCCTTTTCCTGTGATCCTTTGTAAGGCTGTGAAGACAGAGGGAGAGACGGATCAGCACATCTGTCGCAGCGACCGACTGGCTGAGCTGGTGGCGTGCGTGGGCCGGTCCCCTCACCAGTCTTTGACGAAGGACTGGAAATCCAGGGAGAAGCCCATGCTGAGAGGGAGCAGGGGAGGCTCTTCCTGGAGAACTTTGGTCAGCACCTCAAAATCCGTCTTGCAGTTCTTGTAGGGAAACTGGCCAGTCGCCAACTCCACCTGAGGGGGTGAGGGACAGAGAGAGGTTCTGCACGTAAGCACTGCGCCAGACTAGCGAGACAGGCACAGAGCGAAGACAGGCTGAAGGAGGAGAGTCTCACCAGCGAGATGCCCAGACTCCATACGTCAGCTCTGATGTCATAGTCTGGCTTGCTTGGGTCAGGGGGGTCTATCCTCTCAGGCTGAGAAAACATAGCAGGTCACACAGAGGGCACCCACACTGTACACACACAGCAGGTCACACAGAGGGGACCCACACTGTACACACACAGCAGGTCACACAGAGGGGACCCACACTGTACACACACCGCAGGTCACACAGAGGGGACCCACACTGTACACACACAGCAGGTCACACAGAGATAAAATATTAACACTGCACAATTTCCACAATTTTACTAACACCCAACATGCAGGTTTCTAACCTCCAAAACTGTTTAAGCACATTTTACAGTATTGTGGAGTGCAGAATTCATTGGTATACTCACCGCCATGTATGCTGCACAGCCAGCACTGCGGGTCTTAGCTTTGGAGTCAACCAGCCTGCCACTGATGCCGAAGTCACAGAGCTTGATCTGGCCCTTGGCATCCAGGAGGATGTTGGAGGGCTTGACATCTCTGTGGATCACACCATGCTTCTCCTTCAGATACAGCAGGGCCTTCACTATCTACACACAGACAGAGAGAGAGAACACAC